TTTTCAAGCTAATAAGACGTTGATAAATGCGTAACTGCGTAAGGTTAAGCATGAGATTATGATCCAATACAAGTGGATCCCATTGCATTGTAGGCGTTCACACGGTCGAATGTATCAAACATGATTATTGCTCTTAATTTTTTTAAAACATGATTACAAAAGTGTGGCCTTAGTCAAAAAATTAATATAAACAACTAAAAAAGCTGACAAAAAGCACTTTAGTATTAGTGTGTTAATTGAGCCGCTATAACACATAAAATCTACATTATTTAACACATAAGTTTANAGGAGGTAGTTGTTCAAAAAAAAAAATTTAGAGGTTAAAAAGACAATTATATGTTAGAAAAAGTTGAAAATGTATTAATGAGATAAGCTTTTTCTCCACGATGATAAAGGTTGAATAATGTCCTAATGAGAGGAAGCTTTTNTCCACAATATTTATTAAAGTTCTTGGCAATTTTTGGTTTTATTAGAATCTGAGTACTATATTCGTTTTAAACTATGAGATAACATTTATTTTGTTTCAAATGTAAAATATTTTCAAAATTTTATGCAACTTATAAATTTATGTGATATTATATGACCATTGTAATCTGTATATTGGTTAAATTATTTAATTAAACATTAATCACAAACTGCATTGTATCATATGACTTAACGTATTTTTATCAAAACAAAAAGGTAAGAAAGAATGTTTACGATCAGTTTGATTGGTTTGAGAAAAATTATTTATTTTGTAACACATTTTTTTAAAAACCCACTTCAATAAGGTTTGGTCAAATTCGAAATATCATTGTCAAAAGTATTTGATCTAATTCCTATTACAAATAATGATTAACCGATCAAATTCAACTATATATCACATTGTTCTATAAATAACAATTCGACAATGTATTTTCCATGCAACACATATATCTGAAGTGATGGACAGTTTTCCATAAACGTATTGTTTCCCGTATTACATTATTAATGATTTAATTTATCAACTCACTCATAAAAAAATTATAATTATAAGAAGTAGAAAGTATATTCAAAAGAATTTCATAAAACTATATTCAAAAGAATGAGGAAAGGGTTTTGTTTTCTGGTACATCAGAAAGGAAG